CTTCCTTTCCACCTTCCTTCCTTCCTTCTACCTCTGATATTCACTATTTAATTTTTTTCTGTCAGCTCAAGTTTATGATTGGATCTGTGGGGCTTTTGCGATCTAGGGGTCCGGGGGCATGTCCACAGAGAAATTTTAGATCTTCAAACCCTTTAGAACGTAAAAATATTGAGAGGCAAATCATTGACTTGACAGTTGTTGTCCGTGGTCCTTCCGAGTTTTCGTACTTTTTACCCAAGATGTTGGTTTGGTTTTGTCTGTGAAGGTTGACGGATTGGCTTAAAATTTTTTCTGTCATACGCCACAAAGTTTCGGCTAATACTAATAGCAAGAAACACATGTATTCTTTTCATGAGCAATTATTATAACAGCACTCCATTTTCTGTAACTTAAAAGCGATTGAAATGATATAATGGTGCTTGCATGATTTGTCTCGACTGTGCAAATATTTTTTTCTTACGGCTCCAATATGGTTTTCTTTCATCTGTATATTTCTTTTATTCTGCCTGACATCAATTCAGGCGTCTCGTTTGATTTCGTGGTGTGCCTAAATGAACAGGTCTACTCTCTATAATGTATAGTTTAGCGTAATGTAGAATGTACATGTAGAGTCAAAATATCCTCTAGCCAGTAGTTATTTATAATACTCTGTCAGATACAATGTCCGTTGACCATATATATAGCATTATGTTAGACACATACCAACTAGTAATCTTATTATTTGCCATACATTGTGTCTTCATCCTGAAGCAGCGCAGGTTACGCTGGTTGGGTCACGTGTCTCGCATGGACCACTCGCGTCTACCACACCAGGTACTGTATGGTCAGTTGGCAGACGGCAAGCGCGACAGGGGTCGCCCAAAGCTCCGCTTCATAGATGTCTGCAAGCGGGACCTGAAGCTTTTTCACATTGGTGCCAACTGGGAGCACCTTGCACAAAACCGCACTGCATGGCGGTATGCACTTCGCCAAGGTGCCAAGAAACTGGAAGATGACCTGGTCCAAAATGAGACCACAAGAAGGCAAAAAAGACACCATCCTTCTGCAACACCCGCTTTCACCTGCACAACCTGCGGGAAACTCTGCAGGAGTAAAGCTGGGCTGGCCGCACACGGACGAGCCCATCGACGTTGAGCAGAGCGTCTGCTAAGACGAAAAGGAGAAGAAGAAGATTGTACCCGTGACAATCGTTGTGCAATAAACTATGACTTTTGACTTTTTTATAATAACGTTTTTTGGCTGCCTACCCCCCCCAAAAAAACAGGTCGAATCTTGTCTGCATGTCGGGAGGGCAATTATAGTCCAAGACCAGGGACGATTCTACAACAATGAGAAAATAGTTTGTACGTTGTAAACTAATTATGTCGGTGTACAAAATATGTTTGCTGCGTAACATTCTCAAAAGATGTATGCCTCGCGTATTTACGGTTGCCACAGTAGATTTATAATCGTAAAACTGTTTTTCTCGATCATAAGCATGCATAAATGTACACAATAAACATTATACCCGTTTGTGAAGAAACAGATGTAGCATGATGTTTTTCAAGCATGTTTCAGCATCAAACAAATGCATTTAGTTGATAATATGATTTGTCTGCACTGTTCAAAGTGTGACGGTTGTAGCCCATCCATTAAGTAAGCTGCAATCTTCTGTTTCCTGTTATTTCTGGTAAGGCCACAGCAAGTAACTTTTATAGATGACATCCTCCGCAGACTCCAAATCTAATGCAATAGGGCGAAAAAAACCAGGCGGACCAAAAATACAAGATTCCTACATTTTCAAATGTTGGCATCATAAAGCTGATTAAACAAGAAATGAGACCTATATTTTTCTAAGTTTACTGCTAAATATTAGAACATTCATTTGTCACTGAAACAACTTTGAGAATTAAAGTTTTATGTACAAATGGTTTTGATTCAATGAGAACATCACATATACACAGCCACCATCACATATCAAAGGAATGAAGTACATGACTGCATCAAAGTAAAAGACAAAACATTAAATCAGAGCCTTGTCTTGTCTCCTCTCTTCATGTTCATGTGCCATCATAACTTTTTGATGACACGTTTTGGCATAGCAACAGACATCTTTGCCCATTTTCGGCATGTTACGAAACACTGTCAGAGGCCAACAAAATCTCTTGTTTTTTTCCCCCCAAATCAGGCGAAAATTAATGCGCGCGCTGATGTCATCCATCAAAATGTTGTTGTGGCCTAATCAAAAGTGAACCGTGCTTTGGGTTTTGAGGCACGCTTATATCGACGCGTGCCTTGCCTGGTGCAGGACGTGTTTCTGCTGTCTAAAAACCTGACAAGTGGCAGACATGTCGGCAGGGCAGCAGCAGTCCCGGACTGGGAGAACAGGAGGTAACGTGGTTCTCACATGTCTCTTACAATAATATTTACCTCACTGATTTTCATAATTCAGAGACTTGTCGTTTCATAATTCCAAGAGCTGTTGTGTTTACTACTGACTCTACGATATACTAGTAATATTGAATGTATTTTTCAAACTGCATGTAAAATGCCAACATGGAAATTTGTATATGCCATAGATTCAGGTACAGAGCCAGAGGTATAAATGCTTATTTGCAGAAAGTATTCCTGAATTGCAGAACAAAATTGTGACATTCTTAAATATTGTAGGACACTGAAAATATTTTTTAGCACTGGAGCGCACTGTGCATGCAAGTCGACTATTCTGCCCACCGGGCTATTTAATTGTTGCAGTTATTGTGTTTCCATATTGGTTATTTTCATATTCAAGAGTAATCTTTGGGAATCGGACACGTCCCGTTTGGTTATATCTAATACGCCAGCCATAATCATAGAATGAAAGGAAATGAATGTTTGGACCGTTTTTTATAAAAAGATACTTGAATAATGATATCATTGTTTAATCAATGCATCCAAAAGTTGTAAAATTTGCCGTGTAATAATGTTTGAAACCGTATATAAGTGGCACGTTTAAGCTTTATTGGCCCGTAAATTTTACTCTCCTAGCAGAGGTTATGGTGGAAGATCGTTTGCTTTTTATATATGGCCCGTTTGTTTTTGTCGCTTCCACCACCAAGTTCTGCTTGGAGAGTACGTAAATTTGTGTTTCTTTGTGTTTATCTTGCTTGTTTGTAAAAGGCTGACCATATACTCGTAGTGCAGACTTGACCAGGTTCAAATTACCTGTGACACTACAGAAAACTTCGAATTCTTGGTGCATTTGACCAATTGTTTTATCCCATGCCCAATTTTCTTTATATATTCCAACATCTAATCCCAACCTATAGTAATGCCGCCACCAACACAGGGGACAATACAATACTTATTTTCAACTCAGCGAAGCGAGAAAAGTCGTGTAAAATGCATTTCCCAAGGGCACAAGATCGGTGGCATGGCAGGACTCGAACTCGGGACCTCGTGATTCCGACTCGAGCACTCTGCCGCTACGCCACACGACCCCATGCCCAATTGAATAAAGATGCAAGACTTGTATGCTGTGCTGTATCTGATAACCCGATGTTATGCATCAGGGTTTTAAGATATTTCAGCATATTTTACAGTTGATGTAATTTTCTCGCCAGGCGCCACACCCACGCAGCGAGCCCAGACTGATTGGACGTCAGTTGCTGACGCCGCCGCGAGTACACCCAACCCCATGTACGTCACCAGAGCAGGTAAGATATTTTATGGCCACACTGCTGTTCGTAGTATATACGTACTTTTAGGCCACAGCAAGGAGATTTTATGGATGACATCCTCTGCAGACTACAAATCTATGATGCGATAGGGTGAAAACAAACAAGGCGGGCAAAAAACAAACAAACAAACAAACAAACAAACAAACAAACAAACAAACAATATAAACTATATTTTGACATCACAAACCTTGTTAAACAAGAAATGATACATATACATGTATTGTGCTATGTATACTGCCATCTATTACAACATTCATTGCTCACTGAAACTACTTTGAAAAATAAAAGTTTTCGATCATTGTACAAATGATTTTTATTCAGTGGGATCATGACATCTACACAGCCACCATAAGGAATGAAATACATTACTACCTCAAGTAAAAGACAAAACAATAAATCAGAACCGTGTCTTGTCCCCTAGCTCTCTTCGTATTTATCTGTCATTCACATTCTGGCATGGTAACAGACATCTTTTCCCATTTTCGGCATGTTATGCGCCGGTAATGGCGAATAGGCTTATTAAGCCTATTCGCCATTACCGGCGCGAAATGCATGATGGGTAATATCCGCCATTTTGAGAGATAAACAAAACCGCGTCGCCCCGCGACACAGCGAGCGCGGGTGTCGAATCCCGCTACGTAGCTAAAAAAAATGAGTTTACCCGGGCCGTAAGT